TTAGAATGTTATATACACGACATTCCCAATCATAGTTATTAATGTTGTGCACTGCTGTTTGAGCTGCGTGTGCTGAGCTAAAGATGATCACCGGTAAACTGAAGCGCTCTTTTAACTTAACCAAACGCATTCTATATGAGATAAATCAGATATACATCAAATAAACACAATATTACAATGTACAATTGCACAAAAGGCTGCAAACGAACAGTGCGCATCTGAAGTGTCTCTGAAGGAAATAATGCATTATTTATCGGCTTTAAGATATCGGCCAAATTTTCTTATCAGGCCGATACCGATAACAGAAAAAATGAGCCGATATGGGCCGATACCGATATGGTGGCCGATATATCGTGCATCCCTATGACAAAATAATCCATGCTGTTGTTCATGTTGTTTTGATAAATGCATCCTTTCTCTTAGATCATCTGTGAAATGAAATTTGTCTCCGCTTGTAAGGTATGTCTATTTGACACTGGGAGGATTCATCCTTGCTATCGTAACAATGGGTCCATACAGCTTATTGCTGTTCTTCAGTGCCATGCTTCTCCTGCTGCTGATCCGCTGTCTACACCCAATGCATATTCATTATTGGACGTTAGGACTGCAGATGTGTTGGCAAACCTGCTGGCACTTGTACAGCCAGTACCAGTTATACTGGCTTCAAGAGACACCAAACTTCAGGTATTTCTCAAAAAGTATGAACTGTATGAAAACATCCAATTTGACCCTATTGTGAGCTCTCGTTTTATTTCTAACAGGCTCTTACTGGCCACATCTGCTATCATGTTGATGACCCAGAGGGTTTCATCTCTATCACTTGATCTGCAGGAAGGAACAGTCACTAGTCCCTTTCAAAACAGCAGTCGGGGTCTATCTGTCCTTATACCATTTCTAAGCTACTCGCTTAATTTTCCTGCTCTTCTTGGTGGACCACTTTGCAGTTTCAACACTTTTGTGGAGTCTGTTAGGCAAATGAGTGTGACTTCACCATTGGCTTCATATTTGGGGAGGCTTACATCAAAGATGTTGCAAGTTGGATTTCTAGTCGTGTCCTCTTTTGGAAGACCAAACAGTTTCGCTTTCACAACGAAACACAGCGTCACACACGGCGGCAGCCTAGAGTGAGCGGAGGCCGGTGGCTAGAGTGAGGAACAGACGGCGGGCTGAGTGAGAGGAGGCGATCCACAGCGCGAAGTTAATGTATTTCCTCAGCAACCAGCACAGATCAGCTCCAGGCATGATGAAGTGGATATCAAATCAATCACATTCACAGTAAACAGCCCTTGCGTTTGTCAAAACATAATATGGATCTGGGTCCTGTCGCTGCTACTTAAGATGAACTATTATGCACACTGGAAGGTCAGTGAGTGTGTTAACAATGCTGCAGGCATGGGTTTCCATGGGTACAGTCGCAGTGGAAAATTATCATGGGATGGGTTTTCTGATGGCAGTCCATGGGTGACTGAAGCATCAAGCCGTCCTTCAGTGTTTGCGCGCCAGTGGAACAGAACCACAGTGGCGTGACTTCGAAGAATGGTCTTCAAAAGGTTCAACAGATCTCCACTGTTTATGACCTTTGGGTTCTCAGCAAGTAACACTCCAAAGAGAAAGGAAAAATTTTAATCGCATCATATGACCCCTTTAAATGAACTAATATCTTTAAAGGGATAGTTTGCCAAAAATCTCTCATCATGTCCTATCCAGTTTCATTTAAATTCTTCCATAGAACAAATGAACAATGAAAGAAAACCACTTACGCTTTTTTCTTGCTTTTTTGGAGCTTGGCACCATTTACTACAACTTTGTAGTAAGATATTCTGCTTTTTCCATACAGTGTGTCAGTATCTGTCCATCATGTTTCAGAGAAGAAAGAATGACGTAAGAGTAAGTGATGACAATTTTGCTTTGTTTAACCAACACACAAAACCTTTACATTCAATAGTTAAGAGACGTGTATAAACAAGTTAAAATATATATATTTATTGTATGAAACCTGCATACTGTATGAAAGTGCGCATCCTGCATCTCTTACTGTAGTTATACTGCCATCCAGGGCCGCATTAAGACCACACTGGGCCCCGGGGCTATTACTTACTGCAGGGCCTCCCATCACAATAATGATATATATATATATATATATATATACAATATATATATAAATATAATTTATCCCATATCAAAATTCTTGATGCACTGAAATTTTATAATTTTTGTTACCAATTTCAGTATCACAAAAAAATAATACTAGCCTAAGTAAAAATAAGCGTACTGAAGACAAGTAAACAGTCACAAATTAGGCTACAACAGAACAAAGATCATAAAAAATCGGCCTACTTGAAAAACTTAAAGCACTGAATAATAAATATAATATTGTATAAAGAAAATGTGCAAATATACTGAATAGTCTTCACTGTATAAATTCAAAATCCAAAGAGATATTCTTTATAAAAGTTAAGAGTCAACCACGCCTACCTAAAATGCCTCGTTCTAACACACCCCCACATGTCTACGTCACGATGTGGGAAGCTCGCTCAAGCCGGCCGCCGCTCACTCTAGCCGCTGGCCTCTGCTAACTCTAGACGCTGTGTTTCGTTGTGAAAGCGAAACTACTTTGTTTGGCCTTTGTTTGGGGGGCGTGGTCAGTAGCCCCTCACTGCAGAACACAAGATCCACTCCCCCTGGATCTTGTGTTTTGCAGTGAGGACTGCGTGGTGACTTAAGCGATCGGCGCTCCAGTCAATCTACTCCACAGCCAATCACGGGCCCCCCTCCTTGCTCGGGCCCCAATGGTTAATACGGCCCTGCTGCCATCTAGTGATGGGACAGTGAGATAATCTCTGAGTATCCTACGTTTACGCATGTGGGTGATTCTATAATTGCAGGTACATTTGGTGTCCGAAGTCATTATTTTTTCAGGTTTTTTTCAAATGGTTATATTTTTAATCATTTTAATAATTTGTTACTTATTATGGATTACAAGATGTTACAGTCAATAACAATATAATAATTTGTGTAAAAAGAGATGATTTCTTGTTGTCCGAATTAGTCAGTGCATTTTTTCCATCATGTATCATTGTGTAATCAAAATATTTTACTGTACTTTTCTTTTTGTAATATTTCATTCACTTTATTTATAAAAGCCTTAAATACTAATTTACTTAATTCCACAACATTAAATTGTTTAAAAATAACTTTTTTCTTATAAAAAGGTTTGTCCATAAATCTTGCTCTGTTATTCTGTTACCGTACCATATTTTGCCTTTAAATTGGTGGAATTATCTCCCACAGCTATGTACAATACAGGAAATGATGCCACTTTCCCTCACTGATAAGATCTGAAGCACTAAAAAGTCTGTGTACTCTCTCTGAGAACATATTTTAATCTAAAAAATTCTTATACCAAGAGTTATTTTCAAGAACATCAACACTGTTAACACAATATCAAAAGGAAAAAAAAAAGGTATTACTGATCACACATTGGGTTATTGAAAGGTCTTTAATCATGATTTCATTAGTGCCATGTGCTCTTAGCATTTATGCTAGCAAGTGGAGTATTTGGCAAAAATAAAATATAATTGTCAATTCTGTTACCGTCAAACTCTGTTACTAAGGTTACAATGCTGAATAACAATGCTGACAATAGTGTAACAGAATTGACAGTCCACCGGATAATTCTGTCAATTCAGTTACTTTACAATTCTGTTACTTAAAGGGTCAACTCCGTTTACAAACTATTTTCACACAAAAAACAATACAATTGTTATTTAAAATCTCATAAACATTATTGAGATATTATGCACCCTTATAATATTTCAAAAACATTTTTTTTTTTTACTGGATATTGTATAGAATACATTTTCTGATTAAACATATTTTCTCCAAGTGGACAATTCTGTGTAGACACACATTTTATTTTATCATTATAAATATAATTTATTTTTAAGGTATGCATATAGGTGAAATATGATCTCAGTTCAGAATGTAAGGACTGTTTGTCTAATGATACAAGAAGGTTTTTTCCTTTTATGATTTACTGTTATTTCTACACGTTGCCTAATTTGTCCGTAACAGAGTTGACAAACAATGCCATAAATACATCTGTTTTTTCATTAGAAGTAAAAAAAGGAAGTAACTTGTGTTTGGCAAGCACTGAATCATTAAAATTGAATATGTTTTCAATAAGACACTGGAAAGAATTTGTTAGTGGACAGTTTTTTTTCTTAACTTTATGAAATGACAAATGCATCTCCAATTATAGAATCACCCATGTACAATACAAGCTGATGATAATCACTGGACTCACAAATTATTTTCGACAATTCTCAGTGTAAACGGCCACTGTGTGTTTTTGGAGTGCTCCGGTTGACTACATTATAGGTAACGTGCCAGTGTTTGGTGGTGCTTACTAGACTATAATTTTAAATTTTACAGGAAAATGTTTCAGATGTGAAAAGAGCTTTTCAAATGCCTCAAATAGGCCTATATAAAAAAACAAGTGGCTGTCAACAATATAATTCTTGCATGTAATTAAAGTTCTGAACAAATGTCTGAACCAATGACCTTTATTCCACTCACAGATGCCATTCAGAAATAAATCCGATCTGATTGACCTAAAAATTATTTTTCTACTGCTAACAAATTTATTGCAACTCAAAGGGAACATTCAAATAAATAGTAGTTCCCCGATTGTCGCTTGCAATTAAGGCACAGTCTTGTCATCACCACAAATTCAGACACACTGCACATAAACACGCAAATCCATCTCTGCAAACTATGACATGACTTACACAATAAACCAAAGTAAAACACAGCCGTTTATCTTTGGTACATGTTTTTGGGGAAGTTCTAACAGACTGAAATGCCATTACATTAAATAACAGGATTCCACCATATATGGCACATTTATAACAGAAACAAATTGTTTGACAATATAAGTAAATTAATAAAATCGTCAGATGTGATATAAACGGTCTATAGTGTGTCTGTTTGTTACTTTCTTGGAGCCACTGTATGTAGCTTCTATGCACATGTAATTTGTAGTACCTGCCATGAACACAAACATAAAAATCAGATTATTTATATTGCTTTCAGATACTGTAAAAGTGTCATACATGAATGCTTGTTCTGTAAGTGATTAAATAATAAGCAGCTGCATCTGCACTCTGCAGTGCTTCTTTAATTATTTCTAAGGGCAGAAAAACGTTCTGAATGACATTTCTTGTCATTGTCTGCAAACTTTTAGTGGCTTGAAAAGTGGCTACAATGGTGTCTCAGTCTTAACTAAGATCTCTCTGTCTGGAAGTTATAGGCTGAGAGGTTGAGATAATAAAATGCCTATTGCTTTTTTGAAAAGTAAAAACATTAATAATAATAATATGACTTTAAATAAACAAAGTTCATAATATAACAAAAGTAAAACACTGGAATATTATCTTAAGTGGCTTTTAAACATCTGCACAGTCCGCTTTTAGTATTGGATGATCTGTAGTCTCAGACTCAGTGCATGAATTTGATAGTTTGAGTTTTTTCTTCTTCACCAGCCTGTCAACAAGCACCACGAAAACCCCTGACAGGACAAGGCAGAGGCCAGATAAGTAGAAACTAGCACTGAAGTCATGAGTCCAGTCCACCAGCCAGCCTGTGACACAGATACACAAAAGAAACATGAGACGGCTGACACAGACAAAGACAAAACCTGCTGTTAGCGGTGTCTGTATCCTCCCCACTAAAGCACCATCATAAAATTGAGCCATACTCAGTCTTTTAGGAATAAAAGTTGACAAAAAAATTGACAAAACTTTTTCTAGTCCAAAAAAAAAAGTTGTTTTTAAAAGTAAGCTGCAAAAAATGTGTTTCAGTTTCGCAACATTATATCCTTCATGACATAATAGAGATTAATGACGGTCAACATGCTCATCATGGTGTAGTCAAAGTAAGGAAATAGGAGAATGTACTATTTAACTAATTTAACTTTAACATTGTTTTTGGGTCTAAAAGAGTATGCAGCAAAATGTTCAAACAGACGTTAACATGAACATTCACATTTTATCAACATTTGTCAAAAATGTACCTACTACACAATGCAAAATGACAATTTGCAAAAAAACTAAATCGAAGTATGTGTGTTTAAACAGTCAAATTATGAAAATATAAAAGCGGACGACTATT